ATAAATAGAAATTTCAAACATCCTGCATTTAGAGTAGTCACCAGTTAAGAATAAGACATATTTTCATATACTACTGATTTTTATCAGAACACAGTATCCTATTTAAACTCTTAACCGATTCATCCTTCAAAATCCGGGAATAAACAGCTCTTGTTTACTATGGATATTAACTACCATTTGATCTATGGCATTCATTCCTCTAACAATTAAATTCATGAGTAAGGTAAGAACATCATATCTGACAAAAGTCTTGTTAAGGCTTTTTTAATGCAGTAGAGAACCACAGGACTAGTCTTGAAGATTTCAAAGGAAAGGCAAAATATAATTTTAAGTTTATCATTAATGTATATTTCTCTACAGAGGAATTAGAGACTATATGTGCTTATCTGTGAAGATAGATGTTGGTATGTCTCCAAAGGCTTATATACACGTACATGCTGGTGTGAATCGTCATTCCCACAAAGTCTCCAAATGGCAATTTGCTGATAGCTCTGGAAAAGCCCAAGACCTTTCTCTTTAGTAGGAACACTAATTGTTTTAGTTTTATTCAAAGAAATTTAACAAATGCTGTTCATTTCTTGGTTGCCTTATAATTTTATGAAATTCACCAAAACAAAATTAAAAAAAAGACAAATGTGAAGGAGCTAGATTGTGCAAGAGGTTTAGATAAACAAAAGATTCTGGAGCAAGTTAACACAGTAAGTAGAACAGGAAGTGCAACTTCAAAGTTATATCATACACACCACAAACAGAGCTAATCTCTCAACATCTAGAGATACTCTCGTGGACATTTTGACCTTAATTATAACCAGGAACAGGTAGACACTGGTATTTAAGAGTTAGCATTGTGTACTATAATTTCGATTAGGTGACTCATGATTTTCAAATATTTTCAGGTGCTGACGTGAGTCACCAAAGTCTTGCGTCCCTCACTCCTACCCTGGCTAGTGGTCAGCAGCATGAGCTATGAACTCCATTTCCTCATATGTAGAATGGGGGATTGAAAAATATAACTTATGGTTTCTTTCCATTTCTAAAATGATGCTTTCATTCTAGAAATGTAAGATCAAAGTTGAAAAAGTAAATTTAAATAGCACATTTTAATAGACACTCCCAAAGAGAACAAAGGAATGGAGACAGCAAGGGAATCTGGTTAACTTTGTGCAAAACAACATAATGCTGATGAAAAAAAGAAGGTAAACAAAAATTTTCTGACATTTACTTCTGCTAGGAGTGTAGATTGGTACATTCCTGGAAAACAATTTGGTAATATTTATAAAGAGCCACAAAAATGCCCACTAATTTCTAACTCGGTAACTTTACTACTAAGAATTTATTATAAGGAAGAATAGAGATAAAAGTTGATGGGCAAAGAAAGATCCATCTCAGCATTATTTATAAGAGGGAAAACCAGGAAAGCAAAACTATGCCTCTTACAAGAAGATAATGGTTATAGCATGGTGAACTCAGGGAGAGAAATGTGATTCTTTGTTGTCATTACATATAATAGTGGTGTCTTGACACATTAATGTCAGGAAGTGCCATATATGTATTACTTCACTTAACAGATATTTGAATGTCTACTATGTGCAGACATGATTCTAGGCACCGGGGAAAAAGTAGTAAATACAGAGGAAGATTTATCTTCCAGCCCCCTGGGAGCTAGTGAGGTAAGACTATAAACAAAAAAAGAAACAGGTAAATATGTAGCATATCAGATGATGGAAAGTGCTATGGAGAAAAACAAGGCAGTGGGAGTATGGAAGAGGAGGAGACGTGGTTTTATAGCCACAGTGAGTGCAAGGCTCATTGATCAGAGACTTTGGAGCAGAGATTTGAGTCAGTGAGCTGGTGGACATGTAAATATCCAGGAAGGGTATTCTAGGTCAGGGAAACAATTTTTTTTTTTTTTTAAGACAGAGTTTCGCTCTTATTGCCCAGGCTGGAGTGCAGTGGCACAATCTCGCCTCACCACAACCTCCACCTCCTGGGTTCAAGCAATTCTCCTGCCTCAGCCTCCCAAGTAGCCGGGACTACAGGCTCATGCCACTGTGCCCAGCTAATTTTTGTATTTTTAGTAGAGACAGGGTTTCACCATGTTGGCCAGGAGGGTCTCGATCTCTTGGCCTCGTGATCCACCCGCCTCGGCCTCCCAAAGTGCTAGGATTATAAGCGTGAGCCACCGTGCCTGGCCAAGGAAAAAATTTTAAAGGCCCTGAAGCAGAAGTACATTTGGTGTATTTATGAAATACCCTAAAATCAGCAATGGGAAGAGTGGCAAGAGATGAGGTTGGAAAGATGGGGTGAATGCAGGCCATGTGAGCCTTGGGGGGGTCACTGTAAGAACTTTGAGCTTAATTAAGCAAGCAATTAAGTCATCAACATTTATTGAGCCCTCATTGTGTAACCTAATTTTGGACAACCAATAAATTGCTTATGTATTCCCTGCTAAAACACACTCTCAGAATGTTTGTTATCTCTTGGCTGGAAAGATTTTTTAAATGTCCAATTAAGCAGATGAAAGAGAAAAAAGCTAATGGAATGAAACAATGAACTGTAAGGGCAAACATGATTACCTTGAACCAACCAATTTATTTTGCATTCTTCTTAATAAGGATAAAGGTGAAGAGAAAGGTAAAAAGGCCTGGTATCCCTGCCTTCCATCTCTGAATTATCATGTTTCCAAGTCTCTATGGAAGGTTCCGAGGGCCATCTAATAGAATCAAGAGAGATTTTCCTCAAACCCCATCCCGCTCCACCTTTTGGCCAACAGTGTTTCAAATCCAAGAACAGTCTAATCCATAAAAACAGGGCCTTGGAAAACCCTTTCTGGAGTAGCTACCTTACAGAGATATGATTCCAGGAATTGGCTTAGAAGTGGAAACCCTGAGGTTCATGACCAAGAGGGTCACTTTGGTGCTCACTGAGGTTCTGGGTCCTGCTCTCCTCGTAGACCCCACCCTCACCCCAAGCTGTAGTTCTGTTTCTCCCTCAGTCATGCCTCACTGCAGATGCGGGTGACTTTGCTGATAAAGATGGGTAAGAGGGAAGGTGTGTGCCAGCATGAGCTCATTTGCATCTGAGCAACACAGTGTACATGCCTACTTGGCGAGGTCCAAATTGTGATGAAAAAGACCAGGCTTTACTATTTGAACCATGGATTCAATATCCCTGTTAGCACTCAAATAGTGAGATAAGATTTCCAAACTCTCTATTTCACCTTCTTATGAGGCCTACCAACTCCATAGCACCATTTTGGGATTTGAATATGTAAGACAATGTATGGTTTTTTTCTTAAGCTGCCCAAACCCAGATCCCATGAATATTGTCCTCCAATAACTAAGACAATGTTTTCGGTGAGAACTCTGATGAGAAATTTCTCATAAGGGCATGGAGTGAAGCAACGTGAGAAGGATGGCTCTGCCCCGTTGTCACACTCTCATTTTTTCCTGATCCTCGTGTCTCCTGCTTGTGCCCAGACCAGTAGCAAGATTGTGAGATTTACTCATTCTCTTGCTGAGGGAGATCACCTTTCATCGCAGCATTCTGCTCCACTGGCCAACATATTTATATGCACCTTACGTAGGAATACCCTGTGAGATTTACTGCCAGCCAATACCTTAAAAAAAATCAGAATCTGGTGTCAGGATCAATATCCAGAGCTATTGGGAGCCGCTGAGCCCTTCTTGGCAACCATTGCTTTTGCACAAGTTGCCTCAGAGAGGCAGCAAGTATTGGAATTCAGATACAACCATGTAAGGGTACAGGGAAGGGGAAAGCAGGCAAATGCATGGCCATTCCTGAAATCATGGGCATGCTGGAAGCTTAGACTTATCTCATCCCATATGGGTAATAGCTGATTGCAGCCCACTGAGACTCAGCAGTAATTAACTAATTAAGTAAGTGTGTCCATTAAAACCTACTATCTGCTTCAAATGGTACTTGTGAAGATATTTAGAAGTAAATCTATTCTCCGGGGTAGAATACTTTGTGTGCTGGAAAAATTCCCAAGAACCACTCAAACTTTTCATGAATTCCTTGACACATTAATTTTCAAATCCTTGATTCTTGTCTATGGAAATTTGGCCATCTATGTCCTGACATTAATCTTTTCTTTCCCTGATTCTAGAAAACTTTCTTGGCATGAGGTCCCTACAGTAATTTTTTCTATGTCACTCATATTACATTTTATCTTGAGTGGTGTAGTAATATCAACTCCTAACTTCAACTCTACATATTCTTTCAGTAGGCCTTTGTGTGTGTGTGTGTGTGTGTGCGCGCGTGTGTGTGCACGTGTGCACACTCATGCATGTACATGTCTGTCCTGCTTTCCTAAATATACAATATATTTCCTTCGGTGATATGGCCCTTTGCTTCTTTATTCTTCTCATTGCTCTCCTTCCTCTCTCCCTCCCCCATCATCCTTCTCTCCTCTCTTGCCATTCATTTGTTCACAAATATTTAATGCTCTACCAACAGGGATACTTCTGGGACCTGGGGGTATAGGGGTAAGCATGAGATTTAAAGAACAAATTCAATGATGATAAAATAACTCTGGATACAAATGTGGTGTCATTGATTTTCACTGCATTCTATTTTTATAGCAATACACTTACATTATTCTGTGATTTTAAAAACTTTCTGTTACTAGCAAAGTCCTTTTCTTTACTGACAATTATTCCCAGGCTTTAGTGATAAAGTCAGGTTCTAACTTTTATATATTTAAAAGATAAATGAGCATCACAGCTACAACGAAATTGATAAATGTCCCCAAACACAGATAGGCAAATAGGAGTGGAGAGTAGTGAGGGGATATAGTTCTTTTGGTACTAACAGTGGGTGGTTTTTAAGACAACAGCATCATTTGTCTTACTGGGGCAGCCTAGATCCAGGCTAAAATCCCACGTGTAGAAGAAATAGAGAGACAAAGGATAACAAAAATAATTTTTATTATGATTTTCATTGAAAAAAATACAGAAAATCAATAAAAATGAGTAGAGGCAAATAATATTAAAACAATTCAAGCAAAAATAAACATACAGAAACAGTAAAAGTGAATATAGGTCCATAGTCAACATTAAACAGTTCAATACAAAAATTAAACTATTGACCCAACCTAGGCATTTAGGCCGAATATGGAAAGGAGGTACAACTAGACATTCTTGAAGGAGTCTTTTCTTTCTCAAAGGTGCAGCTTAGATCCAAGGTGGTGTTTTAGGTTAACATCTGAAGGAATGAGAGGGCAGAGGAGGGAAAGAAAGGGAACGGGGAGAAAACAGAAATGGGAAGGAAGAAAAACTAATATTCCATGAGCTTTTAAAAAATAGGATGTCAAATACTTTGTTAGGCACTGTATGCATTACTTCATTTAATCCTACGAGGTAGGTATTATTTCTCTTCATTTTAAAGGCAAGGAAAGAGGCTCATAGAGTTTATATCATTTGCCCCAGATCACATAGTTGCCGTGGCAGAGAGAATGCAACTCCACCCCAAAGCCCTCCTGCTTTCCTCCAACATCAGGTGTTCCGCAATGCACCACACTCTTAAATGGAAAACAACTCTGGGCAGATTTATGGCTCTCAGGAGGTGTTGATCTAGCCCATCCAATATATACCTTTTTTTCTGGAGCTTGGGAGTAGAGAAATCTGTACCACATTTCCAAGAGGACAAGTCTGATTTGTCTATTTCTTCTTTGTTTCAGAGGAAAGACCTCAACAGGTGGCAAAAGAAGGCGTAGAAGGATTAAATGCTGCCTATCAGACTGGTGGGCTATTAATAATTCCCCTAGAGCACGTTCATTAATAGAAAAAGGAGAAAAATGTATGATAAACAAAAATGTGCAAACCCAAATGTGCATGTTAATCAATGATTACGAATATGAATCCTCCTAAATTCCTTAGCTGTCAAAATCGAAGGAAAAAGGACTCAAAGGAACACCAAGCATGTAGCAGAGCTATACACTAAATCATGTCTCCATCACATTCACAGCTCCACAGGCTAACGTTCTCTATACTGATGGCCCCTTCTTAGTTGATGATTTTTCACAATGTATTTCATGGCTTCCATCCCTACATGAGACTTTATTACTATCACATAGGAATAAAAAGCCATAAAGCACTAGAGTGAATTTATCTTGGTCGGATGCAAAACTTATTTTCTTCACATGACTTCACAACCATTTCAAAGCTAACCAATCATTTCATGCTACATTAAGAAACATTTTAAACTACACACAAGTGACAAGAAGCACACTTAAATTGTGACATCACAAATTAACAAGATTTTATCCTTCCACGACATTCTTAGCTACAAGGACCAGGAAACAACACCAAGAGACACTCAGAGACATTCAACCATTGAATTCACCAAAAACAAAGGACACTGGGGAGAATTCCTGGAGAAAAGCTCATCACTTCGACATTGAACTTGGAAACACATATGGAAGGACAGAAGACAGACAAATCACTGATGCAAACTGAAACCAGAGGAATTATTTCAAGCCTCTTGCTTCAATTTCTTTCCCAGATAGCTTTCTTACATACCCATGCTGGCTTTTATACTTTTCTTTTGGGGGCAGGTGGGGAGTGGGGATCTTAGTACCTGTTTGACTATGTAAGCGTTAGCTTTCTCTACACCTAAATAACAAAAAGGAAATTAAAAAGTATAGCGTACTAAGGGACCACACAAGTGCTAACTGCTCACCTACAGCCTTTTATAGAGATAGATCCCCCAACCCATCTGCAAAAGCGAGAATGATGCCAGAAACAATAATATGCACTGAAATCTCTCAGTGATCTAAATAACTCAGGTCCAAAGACCAAGAACATTCTTCATGCTTCATTAAAGTGACATTGCTCTTGGTATTATTAAAACACTTATAAGTGACCATGCTGAAACTCATTTCTCTGGTACCACTGAAAACTCACTGCCATAAATCCCAATGGTTTTTTTCTGGCCTTTCAAAAATAAACTTGAGGTGCTTATCTACCAACTCCTGAAACAGCATTCCAGACTATTAAGCACTGCCCTCTGCTTTTTTAAAGATGCATTATTCAAATTCAAATAAAAGAAACAAGAACTTGAGTTCCTCCATAGGAGTAAAGGCTAGGCAAGCTATTTCCGTCTAGAGGTTACTACCATGACATCTTGGATTATGCGAATCACAGGGAAGAGACTGGAGATAGTTAAATGAAAGGAAGTGCATACATAAATTCAATTATCATGCAGAAAACATGCAAATGATTTAAGCACTGCATCTGAAACTCTAGTTTATATTCATTAATCTCAGGTTGCACTTTTGAAGGAGAAAGACATGCTAATTGGGTCCAGATTAATGCACTCCCAAACCTCTCCAATTTGTTTTTAGATGAGGGTTAAATGATATGTTTTAAAATAAACACAGCTGCTCATCTGCCTCCACCTTCTACCTCCTAGACTCCACCTCTCCCTCCTCCCCCAGCTGGCTCAGCTATCCCCACCCTGAGCCCCTCCAACCCCCACTGCTCCTCTACCACATCTCTCCTTCCATTAGGGAAGGGGTTCAAGAGCCCTAACATTTTCCTTTTAAAAATACACTAGAAGGATGATACTGTTTCTTAACCAGCTCAACGCTTTCCCTTTCTTCACCAGCCACCGAACTCCAGAAAGACAGTCAATCACATATCAAATCCTGCTGATGCTTAAATGGTGGCATCAAGAATGTGGACACATGGAAAGGCAGCTTTGCATTTTCTCAGGCAGTGCATTCTTTCTACAAATTTGGACCTGCATCCTTTGGATCCATACTGATGGGCAGTTTTAAAGTGTGAAGACACATGCTTGCTGAAAGCCAACATTGCTGAAGGTTGGCATGGCAATCCTGTGACTCAGTTATGTGGGAAACTAGCGACTCAGGAGAGAACTTGGGGGTTTTTGTTGCTGTTTTTCCTCTGTGGCTCACTCAGCCAGCAAAAACTGGCACTGAGCAGAGGGCACTCAAAATGCCTTTCAAAAGGATCCCTTGCTTCCTTTCTTCCTCCTCCCTGGCAAAATTATCTTTTAAAAAAGAAGAATGTGATTACTGATTAATTGATAAATTGATTTAATGTATTAAAACATTAGTTTGGGAGACAAAGAAATAACATGTTTCAGGGAGAATCTTATTTTGTGAGAAGTGGAGCTTTTGAAATAGTAAAATATTCTTTTCCTGGACCTCATCTTTAGAAAAATAAACCAAAGGAAGAGGAATTGTGGGCTACAGGAACGGAGCTGGGAGGGAAGAAATCCTCTCTGAAAAAGCAGCCACCAAGGAGTTAAACCAGGCACACAAAAAAAGAGGCCTTCAAACTAATTTCACACTGAAAGTGATGTTTAATTTGAATCATGCTCCTCCCAAAGGGAAAAGGTTAGTCTTGTCACTTGACTCATATCTCCTCCCCTTCCTCCTTTCATGTGAATTGAAAATTCAGATTCACCATTAATCATGATGTGACATGTTCTTTTTTTCCCGTTCCAAAAATCAAATGAAAGCCTGGGACCACATCTGAGAACCCAATGGTTGGCTAATTCTCCCAACCTGCGTTCACAACAGAGAGAAGACAAGAACAAGGGCACATACAGACACAGAGACATAAATTACTGGATGTGCACTCACAGCAATACACACAAATACATACAGCTAGTAGCAGGCATTGACTTAGAGGAGAGCCTTTCCACCTAAATTGATTTTTGCATATTTGCAAACATAAAATTAGTCATAGTAAATAACAACATGGGCAGGACTGATATTAAATCTGTCAACATCCTGACAAATGCTCTGAGCACTCTTTAGTTAGGAAATACATGTATGATCGTCATTGCTCCTAAAAGAGAAAATGATTATACGCTAACCAAACCCTAAGTACAAGCTAAAGATATTCACCTCATGAAGCCATTCCTCAACTAGCCCCTTGGCACTTGCTGGAATTATTCACAGCACGAGCTCTACTTTCTCATTTTCTGCTGACTCCGTGTGGGTAATTTCTTTCTCATGATTAAAAGTGAGCTTGGCAGATCCTTCAAAGCGTAGCTTTAGGTGTGGTGGGGCTGCAAGTGCATTCTTTGTCTAAGGCAGGTCTCTAGTAATTCATTACTGGACCATTGGATGAGCAGGTCAAGGGAATATTCCTGCACCTAAAATGATTTTATAAAAGGAAAACTTTATAGATATCTTTATATAAACATATTTGTATATTGAAACATGCAGCTGACAGATGAAATGAACTATTTACCTTGGAAAGAATAGGTAGGCTTTTCTCTTCCAAGTAATCACTCCAGCCTTTCTGAATGTCATCCCAAAGCGATTCTGCTCCTTCGACTTATCCAGCATCTGAGGTTGTGAGATAACCCTGGTAGCACTGGCCTCCTTCCCGGCCCCTTCATTATTAGCCTCCTGGTGGGTGAGATAGAATACAGTGAATGTAATAACCCTACTTCACACAACAGGCTTGCTCTCTCTTTTAAATTGAAAATCCCCTTATTACAAAACAAGGGGTGTTCTTTTTCTTCTACCTTTAAGTAGGACTGCCACATTCATTGCTTTTTACAAAAACGCAGCTGCTTTTTAAGCTACAGATAAATAGAATCTGCTAGGCGGTAATTCGACTCGGTCTGAATGCATTATTTTCTAAGACACTTTAGCGAGGGGCTTTTTATTATAAACTGGAATGAACAAGGAAAGTCCTTTTCTCTTCTAATTATGAATGTGTTTTGTTCCCTACTATTAACCTACAATGTCAGATTGATCTTCTTCTTCTTCTTCTTCTTTTTCTGCAGTCAGTTCAATAAATCAACTTTTTTTTTTCTGGAAAATTAGAGGGATAATGATTAAGTCTTCATGAGCTTCAATGACAAAAGTAAAAATAGCACATGGGAAAAGCAAATGCTGAAGCCATAAATAAAGACAATGAAACCCTCTGATGTCCAAGGTAACAAATCCTGTTTTGACACCAAAAGTTAAGATAAAGGGGATTTACTTAATTTTAATGAATTTAACTTTAATAAAGTTAAGGCTTTCCAGGCATCTTACTATATTTGTTGACCCAGAAAGGATGAAGGTATTTTTAAAATAACATTTCTGTATGGAGTGCCCAAACCAGTTGTATTTGTTGTTTGCTTGTTCATTATGGATAATAGTTGGCAATGTAATCAGTCATCCCGACACTTTTAGAAGCAATGAAATGAAGAATTAAAACGGAAGAGGAAGCACTGTGATAAAGCGTCTTCAATTTGAGCTTCTGCAGACATTTTTTTAACTTCAAAGATAAACACTGAGAAAATGGTGAGTTCCTAATAATATCAAAAGGCAGTCTGGAAACTGGAGGTTGGTTTAATTTTGATCCCTGTGTTGATATTCCTGACTATAATATTAAAATAGACCATGGCGGTTATGATCTAGGTCTATAAGGATATATTGCCTTGCCAAGGGGAGGAGAGTGGGGGGAATCCCACAGGATATCAGTGGGGTTCCAATTAAGGAAAAGTAAATACTGCTGCAGCCTGGACAGTAAGTGGAGATTACCAGTATTTCACAGAAGCACAGACAGGTGCCCACTAGTAAATTTACAGATTTAAAGCCAATGCTGTCATTTCCCTTCCTTCAGCAATAATGGAAAGCAAAGTGTTGAAGATGAACTCTGTGTGGCAGATAGTTTCAGAACAATTGCCTGTTTGTTCATACAATTTTGAGTTTATTTCCAATAATGGTGAGAGTGGAAATCAAAGGGGCCTTGTGCAAAACACAAAGTCATTCATGAACCCTAAACTGAGATCACATGCACATTTGAAAGACCCCAGACCCAAGGTGTATCAGAGAGGGAGAGAGAGAAGGAGAGAAGCCTTGAAATAATATTTGCATCTGAAACCATGCGCCTTCCTTGTGTATGTGTGAATTTTTTTTAAAGGGGATATTTAACACAAGTGAGATGCAGACCACATTTTCAGAACACTCACTCTAGAAAGAGTATATTTGCAGTGAGTGTTGGTGACAGAGCTTTTGAGATTCTACCACTCTGCTTAGATTTGAATCCATTTTCGATCCTTCTGTTACACGTGGGAACAAATGAGGCCTCATCAGGTTTCTGGCCTCGGTATCAGGAATCTAAGTGATGCTATGGCAACACAAAAAGCCCAGTTTACCCAGAATAAATAACCAAGCACCAAGCCCCTTCCCTGAGACACAAATTGAAGTATATTAGGCATCACTGTAAGAGTGAAATTGAATCCCAGGGCATCGATATCTCCATTGAGCTAATGTCACTAAAACGAGCCTGCTCTAGCAATCAGGAATTTATCTTTGTAATATTGATGTGTGAGGAAAATAGAAAAAATAATCTCAGTTGTATGTTTGAAAAAAATTTTATTTCCTAGATATCCTGATACAGTAACACATTCTTTTTATAGAAACAGGTTTTACTAAGTTACTCACAAAAATATCTTTGAACATCTACTATCCTCAATTCATTCTTTCTTCCTTTTAACCCTGAACAATCATTGACAAAGATAAAAGATAGAAAGCAGACTTGAATGTGAGCTTATGAGGGATGGCATATAGTCACCATACTCTGCCACCTGTGATAGTCTTTTAAGTTAATTAAAAAAAAAAAAAAGGATGTGATGATAAATAAACCACCAGCCAGAACTCTCAGCCCTTATCAAACTTTCAAAATAACTAAATAAGTAGCCCTACTAAGAGCAGCTCCATGATGAAGGAGAAAAAAGCGGCTGTTCCTTGTTGACCAAGACCCAATGGGACAGTGCTTTAACAACATGGTCACATTTCACTCTCTGTTTGAGAAAAGAGAACTAGAGAGGAGGAGAAGCTAAGTAAGAAGAAAGAGGAGGAGGTGATGAAGGAAAAGGATAAAAAGGAGAAGAAAAGGGTAGAGGAGGGAAAAAGAAAACAATTATCACAATGAATAGATTGTTTCATTCCTTTCCACGTAAAAATAATTCTCTTCACACAATCTCCCTCTTTAAGCCTCACTTTTTCTCCCTGTAAGTTGAAGATCGTTGTGTCTGTCTTATTGGGCTCCTGTAAAGACTAAGTGAGGCTGTGTGATTTATCCGTGATACACCCGGCAAATAGTAGTTATCCAATAAGAATCAGACATTATTATTATTGGCACTGGTCATTAGGTGACCTATTCCCCTCGTGCCTCTCTCAGACATTATTATTATTGGCACTGGTCATTAGGTGACCTATTCCCCTCGTGCCTCTCTACCTGATTCATTCCATAGCCATCTTCCAAACTCTAAGCATACCCAGCAAAGCAAAACAACCTCAGTACAAAGTGACCTCCAGAATGACTTGACTTTGTTCTTCTACCAGATTCAAATCACTTTACGCTTGCAATGGAAAGTCTAAACTTGGACTTTGTTCTACTTCCAGGTTCTGAAGCAAAGATGATATATCTCAGAAATGAGAAAGAGGAGACACTAAACGCGTAATGATTAGACTCAATCAGCTAAGCCACTCTGTGTTCTGAAAGGTTTTCATAGCTATAGCCAAATTTCCATTTTATTAACAGGTGGCATCCGCATGGAGAAACTAGACTCTGTTTTCAGACTTGTTGCCTCCCAATCCTGAATTTAATATACACACTGACACATGGCTGCACACATATGTGCAGACATACACACATCTGAATTAACAACCTCTCAGGTGTACTGTATCTCCACTCAAGAAACAGACAGCTTTAGTTATTGCACCTGAAAGTCTTCACTCTTCCCTGACTATTGATAAAAACATTAAGCTGCATGGCAAATATCACGTAAATCTGATTTGCAAAACTGCCACAATACTCCATCTTTCCTAAACAAAATGACATCTAACCACACCCAAGTCATAAAAGAATATCTAGGACTGTGACTCTATTATCAAGATAGATAAAATTTCAAATGATGAAACAGCAGCTTATTCTTAAACATAACTTGGTATATTCCATTTTAACTTTGACCAAAAACTTTAAGCACATTGTTTTCAGTGAAAAAGACAAGCCATATTATGAAGATGAACTTTGGTATGAATATACAGTTTCTTCAGGAAAAAAAATACAGTGTCGTAAATATTAAAACGTCTGCCCTTCACTTCCTTTTCCCAAAGTCTATTTTCTAAATAGGGTTGTTTGAAATAATCTCATTTTTATAAAGTAAAATATCTTATGACAATCAAACTTGAGAATTGGTGTACAAGAAAATGCAAACTCTTAAAAGGCTAACTTCAAAAAGATTTATTCCTTCTGGTGGCTCTTTGCCCACGAACATGACTTCCAAGCCAGAAAGAGGCTCCAAGCTCCACTGACCACAGGAAATTCCAGCCAAGATTCTAATCTCCTCTGCAGAAGGCAGTACAGAGGCAATGGATGAGAACAACACAGCAGAGAATGCTATTGAATTTTGTGTGTCCTACAAATGAGGAAACACTGATATCTCCCCAGAATCATAGTCAATATGGAGATGCTCTAAACATAAAAAGTAAGACAAGCTTTTTAATTTCTTGTCAAGGCTTCCTGACATCCAACGCTTTCATGAGGTCAAGAAATGTGTCCCCAGCTTCTGTTTTCTGTTCTCCTTCAGGGAACACGGTGGAGAGGCCGCCCAGCTGCTTTTTAGCATGTCACACTTGGCTGACTCCCTTCCTTTCTAGGGGAGTATGTCTGGTGCATTTGGACTCACAGAAGAAAAAGCAAAATTAATTTAACATAAAAGAAATTCACCTATTTTTGCCTCTTTAATATTCGAGAGAACGCTCACGGTTTGGTTAAGTTTAAAAAGTTTTACAGAACAAATATTACAGAGGCATAAATCATATAGGTAAAAACCGAGATGTAAGATGGGATGAAATCTAAAAGCTAATTAAATTCAACAAGGGCTTCTCAAAAGACAACATGCCCACTAATCTTCTCGTCCTAATATTTTGCTTTTCAAGGGGGCCATAAGTGGAAAGTCGTCATGGTTGTAGATTCCACAGTGTGATCCTTTAGCAAGAACCTGAGAAGGGGGAAAAAAGATTAGATGCACGGATTTCTGTGCTGAATGGATGCTGGGGCCAAGATGCAAAGCATAGATAAGTTAGAGCTTCAGAGGACCTAAATTTGAAGCCAGCCAGTAAAATGGATTGAACCTTATTATCTCTAGTCACTGAGAAATTCCCAAGACAGTTGGATGCAATTTGAAAAGGTCAGAAAAATATTTCCTACACAGCATTACTGCTTCATGGTTTAACAGTGTACATTTGTGAGATGCCAACTCTAATCATTTTTATTGACTTTGCTTTCCAGAGACAGACAGACGGTCTGGGAGGCAAGACCAATAGATAAGAGAAGGCAATCTTATAAATGAAAATCTCTCTTCTTTTGTTCTCTCACTTGTGACTGTGAACAATTCCAGATC